TTTGCAATTTTGTTGCATAAAAGTCCGATGTGATTCTTCCATGATAGATTTTCATCAACAATGATACCTAGAAAATTTGTGAAAACTACTTTTTTTGTTTGAATATTATCAATATGAAGAAGAGGCATATTACTTGGAAGTAAATGTTTTTTAAATCGTAGATTAATGAAAATCCATTTAGTTTTATCAATGTTGAGTGAAAGTTTATTTAACTTAAACCAGTCAGATATTTTTATTAGTTCAATGTTCATATTATAAAAAAGTTTATCGATGTTATTATTTGATAGGAACAGGTTTGTATCATCAGCAAACATTATAGTTATTAATTTTGAGACTTCATGGAGATCGTTAACATAAATTAAAAGTAATAAGGGCCCTACTATAGATCCCTGTGGAACTCCACAGGTTATATTTAGATAATCTATATTTAAATAATCTTGTGAAGAAGATCCGTCGACATAGACAAATTGTTTGCGATGTTTTAAATAGCTTTTTAGTAGTTTTGAAGCATTACCGATGATACCATAATGTTCAAGTTTTTTAAACAGTATTTCATTTGTCAATTGTGTCAAAAGTCTTAGATAAGTCTATGAAGACGCCTAAAGTGAACTCTGATTTTTCGAAAGAATCAGTTATACTACGAGTAAGATGAATTATTGCATGTTCAGTAGAGTTATTTCTTTTAAAACCATATTGGTTTACGTAAAGTATATTATTAATAGCAAGATGATTAGATATTTGATTAAACAAAATTCTTTCTAAAATTTTTTAAAAAACAGAGAGGATAGATATTGGTCGATAATTACTGACATTAAACGGTTCACCTCCTTTAAATACAGGCGTTATTTTGGCTATTTTCAATTGATCGGGGAAAATTCCTTGATTAATAGAACAATTAAAAACTTTAAAAAGAATATGTTTTATGGTATCGTATGAATCTATGACTATATTACAATTTACATCATCAGGACCTGCTGCTTTATTAGTTTTAAGCATTTTAAAAGCACTTTCAAATTCTGAAGAAGATACTTCAAATTTATTTAAACTAGAGATTAATGAAAACACGTATTCATTTATTGGAATCATATTTGTAATATTTTTAGCTAAGTTTGGGCCAACAGACACGAAATATTTATTTAATTCTCTTGCAATTTGTTTGGGTTCATATAAAAATGTACCATCAACTTTTATAGTGTTAGGTATAGAGCATAATTTTAATTTACTATTTCCAGTAATTTGACTTATAATTTGCCATGTGCGTTTTAAATTATGTTTATATTTTTCTAGTAAATCATAGTAATATCTTTTTTTAAATTTTTTTCTTTGACTTTCAAACATTTTAGCATAATTTTTATAAATAATTTTATTTTCTGATGTTGGT